GGATCTATAGTTGAAGAATGAAAAAAGCAAAAGAGCAGCAGCAGGCAGGCTGGTTTTAAGTGCTTCAAGAGTGGGAGAGAGGGGAAAAAGTTATGCCTGATGCTCAAGCATGATACAAAAAGATTTATTAAAGATGAAATCCATGCAAACCGGAGGAAACTAAAGCTAGAAAAAAGCATTCTTATAAATAATGGCATGATTACAACCTTATTTTAATCTACGTAACAGTGACAATCAGAAACGTGCATAAAACCGCTTCCTACCTTGGTGCTCTTGGCTGCTGCAGCGGGCGCCTGCTGTACACCGTCCTGTCCCTTCAGCTCTCTACTGTCCACACTGTCAAAGGCTGCCAGCTTAGAGTGGAGCTCCATTTGGAAAGCTTCACTGAGCGATGGCTCTGCTGCCCTCAGCAGCACACTGCCCATCAGGGAGGAGAATCCTTGGCTACTGAAGGAGGAGATAATGGCTGTGGAGAGACAGCCTGTCCCGCTGTATTCTTGTCAGGCATCTCTGTAGGGAAAAGCTCTGAAGTGGAAAATGCTGTCAAACTAGCGGTCTTCCCACATTTAATAGGCGACACCGCCTGTGTGGGTTATCAGTGTAAGAATAGGAAGTGGTCAGTTTCTTGCTTTGCACCTTCTCTCCAGCAGCCTGGCTGAAGTCTGTGGACAACAGGCTGCCCAGGAAGGTGGCGGAGATGAAGTCAGAGCCGTTGGTCTTGCCACAGAAGTTGCTGGGGCTCCTCTTTATCGTGGAGCTCTCCGCCCCAGCTGGTGAGTCATCTACGGGGAAGGCATAGGAGGTGTCGGGGAGACTGCACTGGAAAGACATGGGGTCAAAGTCCAAGGAGGCCATGCCAATGTCTGGCGGGCTGAGGTCCACATCTTCACCTGCTGAGCGGGGAGGTGAGATGAGGGCAGGCACACAGATGGGTCCGTCGTCGCCGTCGCTGTCCTCTGTGGCGTCCAGGTTATCGTAAGAGTTGCAGTGCTGCCGGCTGTCCAGCAGGTCGCCATTAAAGGAGGCTGACAGGGCATCGCTGCTGGAGCGCGGCCGCCGAGGACGGTACACCTTGGACTCTCCTGAAGGAGGGAAACATAATCAGAAGCAATTTATTTTAAAAAGGCCCTTTAACAGGAGATACACTGTAGAAAGAGCTTTTGAAATATAAGATGGGCAGCACGACTATGCTGAAACAAGTGAACGGGAAGACACAATGATTACCTTCAACATTGTGCAGGGAGCTCAGTGATTCTTCACTTTTGGCGGATCGTAATGTTGCTGTGTCTCCTCTGCCTCCTGAAACACTGATTAAAAAGGTATCAGCATTTAGCCTTGTTTAGTCAAATAATATCTTCTCATTGCAATTGTAAGGCGACTGAAAAATGGACTCATTCTAGTTGTGGAGCAAGGACTCACCAGCGAGGGCCATGGCCTTTAGTTCATTGGGCTCACTGGGATTCCGGTGCAGCTTGCGCTTGGACATGGAGGAAGACTTGCCTAGGTTGAAGAAAGAACGCCAACTGCCCACAGGAGACTTCTTGGATTTAATAGGAGGCCTCTTCCTGTGTTTATAAAATGGTGGTGGACAAGCAGACATGGAATAGTTACTTTCTGTAGAAATCTTAATGACAGGTCCTGAGTCAACTTGTGACACTGGGTGCTTCTCAAGTCTCTTATTTGTCGTTTCTTTGCTCCTTGCTTGAACAGGAAGTCGCTCCGCCATCTTGCAGACCATCCCAAAGCTCTTATTTGCGCTCCGAGGAGTGAGGATCGGTGACGAGTGATGTGACTTTGAAATAAAATGTATGCAGTAGTGTTAAAGGATATCAGAAGAGGAAATAAACAGAAAGCCTAAAACTGAGCGTCGACTTTGAAATGAGTTACATCATCTCAATTTCCCTGAAACATTCAGCCTAATAAATCCAAAGACACCTTGGATCATTTTCTGGGTTATTCAATAACGAATTCACAATCAGTAAATAATAAATCAATAAATATAAATGCAGATAATATGAGCATTGTGCCAGTAGAAATGATCCTGTGCCTCTCTACAGCTGTTAGAGTGACTGACAGCCGTCATCAGAAACGGACATCGCTTCACGTGACACTTCGGAGGAAAGAATGTCTCATATGTCCTCGTTCCTTCTCTCCTGGCTTGATTTCCTTGTTTCTCTCCATGCATCCCCGGTGGGCGGGACTAAGACGCAAGTGAGGGAAACGTGAATGCAATTAAGCAGAGGTGGGACCAAGTCATCGTTTTACAAGTCCGAGTCAAGTCTCAAATCTTAGCACTCAAGTCCCAAGTCCAGACCAATCATGACTGGCAAGTCCGAGTCAAGTCTCAGGTCAAGGACCAACAAGTCCGAGTCAAGTCCAAGTCTTAAACTTTGAGTTTCGAGTCCTAAACAAGTCATAATGCGCTCTTCACCAAATGTAAAACCATTTCAAAAGTTTTTATAAGTTAAAAATACAAAAAATGTATTGAATGAAGCATTAGACTGTACAGAAAGAAGGCAGAGGTGCAGTTTCACACAACAAATGTTTTTCATGAATTAAATGTTCATGTTCATTATTTAACAGGATTACTCATTGCCTTAAGAAACATTAAACTATTGAAATGTAATACTTTCTTTTTAAAAACTATTATATGCATTACTCAAAAATCCCATATAGCCCATAAAATAAGAAACAATAGTCCAACATTATTAACTTTAAGTAGCATCTAGTGCACAAGAGGACGACAGTCCTTGTTCCCTCTTGCTGGAGGAAGCCACACACTCCAGTCTAATTGAGCACCGCGCTATGTTGATGTGCTGCGCAGTTTTTTATATCATCATTTATATTCGGGCATGTGGAGTGTCAAGTCAGCTCGAATCAAAAGGCTCAAGTCCAAGTGAAGTCACCAGTCATTGGTGTTCAAGTTAAAGTCGGGTCGCAAGTCTTCTTTGATTTTGTCAAGTCGAGTCTAAAGTCATCATTTTTGTGACTCGAGTCCACACCAGAAGAGACTTCTCTTCAGAGACTTGATAAGCACCCATTGTCAGCCTGGATCAGGAAGAAAATGGCTCTGCCTGCATTCTTACCAGCAGAGGGAGACACACTCCAGCATTTAAAGTCCAGTGGCATTAAAATGCATCTTTCTCTACAAAATCATGTCTCTGTCTGTGTGTCTAAATTTAGATTGTATATTAATCGATCTTTTGAAGATGTAGTCATCAAATGACATAAAAGGAAGAAGAGTTAACAAACCTCTCGGTGGGAAACTCGATGACAGTGTGGAACTTGCCCTGCAGGGCAGCCGGACCTTCGCCCACCTCGATGTACTTGCTGTCTTCCGTGACCGGAGAGTTGATCTGAGCCTGGGTCCTGGCCTGGGCCTCCTCCAGAGTCAGCAGTTTAGTAGAGGGTGATGAAACCAGCAGGGATTTGGGCCGCGACAATGAGTTGTGACCTGGTGATGTGGAAGAGTGTTTATTGCTCAAACAGAAGCAGCAGTGGGTGGTGGAAGGAATAATTTAAGCAGAGGTCTCATCAAACCGATGCCTGTACGTACCTGCTCCCTCTCGTATCAGTGAGCTGAGTTTACTGCTGAAGAGAACATCCACATGGTTGAGGATGAACTCCACCACCACCGACTGGATTCGGACTTCCATGAAGGCCGCTGTGCCGCTGAAGCAGGCGGATTCAATCTGTTTTGACCTGAGGCAATCATGGACAAACAACAACAAAGGGAAAAATTACATTTGCAAAGTCCACCTGATTTTGTTGAAGTGGTTAAATTTAAAGTTACATCATTTGTGTAAAAGGATTTTGAGATGCGTTGATCAGCACCCTCCCACATACAGCTGCTTAAATCCTTCCATTCAGGCAGAATGACTCATTCAGAGCAGGAGACACGGTACTTCCTGCTGCACAGAGCCCATTATCTGGGCTGATTCAAGTCTGAGAAATCGTTAATGTGAATAGTAAAAGACCCACATAAGATCAACTACATATAGGGATGGGTATCGCTACTAGATACCTTTAAGGTATCGACCGAAATAGCCCAGTATCAAGTAGTACTCCAGTCAAACGAGCACTGCATTCGAAATGAATCACTCAAATAATAGGGACAGCCAATCAAGACAGCTTTTAGATTATGATTTACAGTGTATTCACTGCAAGGAAATCCATGTATACAAAGAACATTCTATGGAGCAGGAGAGCATCACACCTCAGTAGGTTGGGCGCCCAGACGATGGCCAGGTTCTTGCTGTGCATGTTGGTGATGTAGCTGAACGCTGCCAGGCGAGAAAGGTGTCTCATCAGGAACTCCAGGGTCCTGAGAATCAAATATTCATTTATTCAGATTTAATTGGCTCCCACTAGTGATGTGCCCACTAATGGCCATGATAGAGATACTTCTTCAGAGCATCAATATTTCACTCTGTACCCAAATCCCAGAGGAATGTCACTTAGAAATTAGCATTTGTATGCTTTCACAAAGGATGGGAAATTCAATTCATCATCAGCAACACAAGGATCAGCCGGGACCTGTTAAATGATTTCATTCACTGCAGTATGGCACTACAAAAACCCTTGATTTTAACATTAACTGACACACACCACTGATGTGAATGCACAACGTGAGTATGCATCTGTAATCTGGGAGTTCCTGCGCCTGCCAAAGGGTGGCAATGTGCCTCTACACTGACCTGTAATGCGGAGGAGGAAGCTGCTGGATGACATCATGGATTTTGATGAGTCGCTCTTCGTCCGTCGCTGCTGATACAGCCTCCTTCAGAGTGAAAACAATGGGAGGTATGGGGAGAGAATGAGATAATAGTGGGATGTGTCAGTGCATCAACATTAAGCTCATTCACTTGTCATCCCGGGTTCACACTGCTACATGAAGCACGGAGGGGACATCGGTCTGCAGCCCCCCCCAGCTGCCATAACAACCTTCATCTTCAGGGACTGTTATGCTTGGAAAAGGTTTTTATTCCTACAAATCACGCAGAGAGCATTTTGCTGTATTTTGTAATGATAGGGTGTGTCAAGTACAATGATATAATTTTAAGGGTCTCTGTGACTCATAACTGTAAGATAAATCTGAAGACTTCAGATAAGATAAATGTGTAAGATAAATTTCCTTTATTTTCTATAGAGATCAAGCACAAATTTAAAATCAGTTCTGTCAGGCATCGGTGCACACAGCAACTCAAAACAACATGAAAAGTAAAGCTCTGTAATAGAGTTGTATCCACACACTAGTATAAAGTACTGGTGTGTGCAAGTGTTTAGTCGTCTAAGACTTTGCTTACAGAGAATTTCTCGTAGAGCTGGTAGGTGAGCAGGGGGTTGGGCAGCTCTCTGAAGTAGAGCTTACACAGCGAGCCAACACAGTGGATGTCCTGGATGTAAACATCTTTGGTCAGGTCGGGGATCTGCTCAGAGTCAAACTCATGCCTGATGAAAGAGAAAGAGGTTAAAGGCAGAGTCAAACTAACTTCTGAAGAAGAAAAGGCATCTATGAAGAGATGGATAGATACAAGACATAAAGCAAAGTCAAGCTGCCTTTCAGTAGTGTTTCAGGAGAGAGGATTGTTGACATGTGCATTCACAACTTTTCAACAACAACAAAAAAAATCTTCCCATTTTTGTTAAAAATTAAAACAAATCAAAAGTGGTAATGACGTAGTCTCAGGCTGCACAGTGGACACTGTAACGTGGTCAGAGGTGTACAGTATGTTTCATATTCTCATTCTAAAACCCTTATGTGACTGCAATTTATTTACTTCAGTTTATGCTAAACTGGAAAATAACACACAGTAATGAAATTGGTCTTCGTGCCCTCCAAAAGTCTAACAAAAGACTCAGTGTCCCACATAATTACAGACAAGCCGGGTGGTGGTGGCGGCAGCCAGAGGTGTGTCAGTGTTAGCAGGGTTTATATTTTCTATATCCAGTAGCTTATTTCTTTTTTCACCATTTTAATTCTACTTCATTCTCCACCTTATTAAACTACCTAGTGTTTACTCACTAATTGTATCTGCTCCCTTTCCCTTCACATATACACACACCTACACCTCTGCTGCAAACACAGCAGCATGCCCTGCCTCTTTCTCTTTCTCTCCACCTTATGTGTCTGCTCTGGTGACTTTCTCCGTCAGCAGCAGACTATGTTGTATAAAGTTGCAGAAAGACACAGTTAAAATATAAAGTGTATGTGTGGGAAACACTGGAATTAGAGATGTGGCCTATATTTCTATATGCTCTAACAATGAAAATTACATTTACTTTCATTCAACTGAAATGATCTCTAACCACCAAAATAAATGAGTTACAAAAGCATGTTTTACTCATTAAAAGGTTCAAAATGCACTTGCCATTGCTCACAAAGCTTAATGTGAAAGTAAACTAATCACTGAGGCTGATCAAGAGCGTGTTTCAACATTTCGATAAACTCCTCTCGAATCACATCTGGATTTTTTGGCAGCTGGCCAATCAGGGGACACTGTTTGGAGAAAATCTATTTCAAACTGTAGAGGTGGAAATTACACCTTTGGATGGGGTCCTCTCCACATATGCAGGCTTAATCCTATCCTGTAAACTAGGGGTGTGCGACTTTTATCGTCTATGATAATATGTTGCTTTAACGACATGTGAGCACACATTATGGAATACACTCTTACTGTTTGATGTCAGTAATACTTGCACTGGTGATTTCAGGGTTTTTATATTGTTTTTACTTGAATGCTTCAGTTTTAAGTAAATAAAGAAGAAGACTTTTACATTCATATTTAAAGGATGTAGGATGGCCAAAGGACGGGAACCCCTGCACATTTTCCCCCCATCAGAAAAGACGGAGGCAATAAGACAAATATGATGTTTCATGTACGGGAGCACCACCCCTCACTCTGAAATGAAATGAATTTGCAACAAGCTAAGAGAGTTAGCATGTTTAGCACTGGTGAAATAAATACTACACACCTTGCTAACAAGGCAGATAACATGGCTAATGAACTAGCTACCATCTGCTAATTTCACCCCTCACGTTACCTCACAGTGCGGGAGAGCAGAGTACTACGTTTCTGCCATTTAGTACAATAGTTACATTTAGCTGGTTTCACGTCTGTACTTTTGTTTAAGTCTTCCACTATTGTGTACATCTGTTATAATTATTACAACATAAAAAACAACTGCTGGCTCTCTGGTGTCTTTTCCACTGTTTGTGTGTTGTACGGAGAGAGGTGTGTGTGTGTTCCCTTTTACAAGCCACACCTGCTGCAAAGGCTCCGATTACAGAAGTACAAGTACTTCTCCTGGTATGACAACATTAGATAGTAAAAACTGTAAATGAGGATCAACTGTTACACTGAATGTCATCATTTTTCTTTCACTGACACAATAATCCTAGATGGAATTTATATGTTATCCGCCTTCAGATGAGCGGTACGATGGGATTAGATTTGTGAGCTCCTCCTATGATGAACGACGTTTCTATGGAAGGAGCATGCACAGAGAGCTCTGGATAAACATTGCATACAGATAAACATTGTAATAAATAAGCAGCCTGCGTCTCATACCGCAATTTCTGAATATTTGAGGCGATTCCAGAGAGGCGGTAGATGCCGTCCACCACGCCATGTTTCTCGATGAACTCGGTGCAGCTCTTGAGGACCTGGGGCACTGAGGAGAGAAAAACAGCAGTCAATATTTGTCCAGGCTTCACTGAACGCTACAAGGTCAAGAAGAAGGATGACTTTCCTTTTTGATGTGCGAGTACAGAGTTTGAATAATTAACTTTGTAGTGCTTTCGGAAGGAAAAAGGACTTTTCGAGCTGAGTATGGAAACATTTGAACCTTGTGAGAGATAACATGTCTGTGAGTGAGGCAGCCAATCACATATGCTCAGCTTCAAAACACAATGCCAGTGATTGTGTGTTAGAGAGGGACAGACGAAAAAAGAAAAACCTCAGAAAAACAGAGCTTCTTCATTCTCCTTCAGCAACCATGAATCATACAGACATGTTATTTATCTGTTTGTGTGTGTGTATATGGGAGATAAGGATGGTGTGTGTCAGTGTATAAGGAGGCTCCCAGGCCTCCCACAGCTCACACATCATTCCGACGATGACAAGAGAGTGGGACACTCGCCGGAGCAGCTGTTCAGACAAATTCCACACATAGCGAAAGAGAAAACAAGGCGAGGTTTGAGGAAACTCGTTGGCATTCTGCAGCAGTGGAGAGGACAGTGAGGGGGCATAAATCCTCTCCAAGTCCTTTACATAGGAAGATTTTGTTATGAAGTCCTCTTATCACAAATATACACGTGTTTGAATGTGGAGTCAGTGTTGGACACACAACAAGAATTCATCTTTCAACTCCTTAAAACAGTACTTTAAAGGCTCAAACTATGACAAAGTGAAAATCTTTCGGCACTGAATATAGACAAATCTGGACACTAATTGTCTAACTAACGTGTTAAGTTTTCAAGCGCCATGCTAGCTTATAATTTTAATCATCCAGCCTGTAATCAACAGATATGCATAACTTAATAAAAACATAATTTACATGACACCGTAAAGGTGGAAAATTTAGTCCTAAGCTAGGAAGGGATATGCCCGGTGGTCGCTCACCATCCGCCCCACGCAGGCAGATCCCTCCTTTAGCGATGCCTTTTGCAAACATGCCCCTCAGAATGCAACTGAAGCATGAAGATTTAGGAAAATAAAGTTCATTTCATGGAGCATAGGCTCCATTTGGCTTTTAATTTCTATTATCTGGAGCAACTTAAGACAGCACAACAAGACGTCTAGTTGTCTGTTCAAACTGGACTAAATTTCACTTAAGTTTTGTAGATAATACCTTCTGTATGACTCAACATATAACCAATTTCAGCGGATGTCTTGGCAAAACGGACTTAACGAGCGCTTCAAAGATCAGGAGTCTGCACTTTTTTCCCCTCCATCGGTTGTTTACCATGTTGGTAAATCTGAATGAAATAGACTTTGGGCTTGTTGATTCCAGAAAATGAACTGAACTTTTGAATTGTGGAGAATCTAACTGATCTAAACGATGTGCAGCATGTCCAACAAAAGTTTAAACAGTATTTGTATTCATGATCTAAGCGGCTTAGAACTAGCTCAAGCAGGCGACCCGGCGGGCTTTAAGAGGTTTTATACAAGAACTTCTATAAAAACCAGACCAGGCCTCTAATAGAGACCTGCGTTTTTTGGTCAAAATGTGTTCCCACACCAGGCCAGTTAACGGGACAGGCGGCTATTTGGGACTAATTAAAGTTTTACGGCAATAATTACATTTTTGTGGGTGGCTTTCATTCATTGAATCCTTGTGCAAGAAAAATGGTCTACACTGGTCTCTCATTTGTTAATGCAGAACAATGACTTTAACCAATGTAGCACATTTTTTAAATGTCCTGCCCCATCCAGGCTGGGATCGGTTCGTTCACAGAAAGTGACATTGTGGTAGGTTGTAGGCCTGGGCGAAAAATCGATTGAATGAATTAATTCGAATTTTTTGTTGCGGGCGATTTAAAAAATAAGTAAATCGAGTTTTTGTGTAATAGCACATTTTTGGCTCCCCGGGGTTTCCGTAGTGTTCGTTTCCCATAGCGACAACATCATACACTAAACAGCAACAGCAAGCGACAAAATGGCTACCGGTGAGAGCGGGAAGTTTGTTCCCAAGAAAGGAATAAAGTCATCTGTTGTTTGGAACTGGTATGGGTTTGCTGCGACAGATGTGGAACAACAGACACCACGCTGCAACATTTGCCTAAAGCCTATCGCAGTGAAAGGCAGCAGCACCACAAACCTATTCCAACACCTGAAACAGAGACATCCAGCCGAATATGAAAAATGCCAGTCTCTCCGCGATGAACAAAGCCGCACTGACCAACAAACCTTATTGCTTTCCTTAAGTAGGGGGGGAAATCGGAAAAAATCGTAAATTGAATTAAAAAAAATAAAATCAGAGATTTTATTTTAGGCCATATCGCCCAGCCCTAGTAGGTTGCAGTCTTTACTCACACACTGTGCCCATAAGTAGTTTTCCCAGTTTGCGCTTAGCTATTTATTTACGAGTGAAATGGTGGCACTATAGAACTCTGCAAATGCAGGTTAACTAGTCAAGTACTACCGCTGTAATTGCTGATTGTCTACTTCTGCCTACCTCGATTTGTCTATGTAGTAGCAGAGTTTCTGTGTTCTACTTTTAAACTAAAAATCATAATCATTAATTGTGTTTCCCTCGCTTCGCATTTCTCCAATTCACTGAAGCAGTCAGAACACCTTGACCATCTGACCCAGCAAAGTGTGACAGAGCAGCTTATCTCCCCATGTCAAGGTAAGGCAGGATGTACAGAGGTCAAGGATTGACTCCTTCACCCAACACTGTGATCACCGTGAAGAGGATCAGAAGAGGATCTATTAATGTGAATAAATGGGTTTTCAGGTTGGTGTCAACATGAACTAAAATGAAGGTATTGATCACGTTTCAACAGGAGAGTAGCATCATAACAGTGGTTGGAGTTGATGTTACAGTGTAATCAGGAGAACATCATCATCTCACTCTGTCGTTGAGAACATCACACCAGCTGACCTGCCAGACCCCGTGCTGCTGAGAGCTCTGAAAATCAATGTGGCTGCAGCAGATAAATGCAGGTATGGACTTATATCTGAATTCCAAGCAGAGCTGCTGTTTATTAACAGTGTGTGTTGTATATCTGTTTGATGGAAACAGATGATGACCCTTTGGGGGAGCAGCCGAAAGAAGAAGATATGAGAGTGCGGCATCAATCTTCTCGAATAATCATATTTCTCAAAATTTAAACGGCTAGGCATCCAGGAAGACATTTATGGGGACAAATCTGCAGTGGAATGAAGTATTTTTAGTAAAAAAGAGAAGAGAAGAGTGCAGTAGTGAGTGGCTGTGTCCACCAAAGCGTTTTTTCCTGAGGCCAGTGTCTTTTTTTCCAATTCATTGCAATCAGAGCACCGCATTTTTACAACATAGCTAAAACACCAGCAGCGTGAGGAGGCGCTGAGCGCTGGGCATTTTTTTTTGGTCGCATAGAGTTGGAAACACAGGCCCTGAATTTATCTTGTCAACAGGTAAACATGGAGGACTTTTTGACTTTGCATTAACCAGGGAACAGGTGAAATTAGAAATCAAAGACAGCCTGTAATGTAAGCCTGTTGCCAATAAAGGCCTGTTCTCTCTGCCATAAATCTAGGCCCTGGTAAATTGAGGCCTTGGTGTCTATTTGAGAAATTATAGTGTCACGAAAAAACAAAGCATACATGGATCCAGGAAATACTGCTGCTCTCAGGTGTCTGCATGTTTCTCACCATCATGACCGGAGTTGAGGAGGTGTTCTCCCAGGTCGCAGCCGAACACCCTCTCCCGGAGGATGCCTCTCTGCTTCAGCTTCTGCTTGGTGGGCCTGGACTTCATGAAGGAGCGCAAAAAGGTGATCAGCTTCCCGTGCTTCTTAGACACTAGACAGTGAGGGAAGGAGAGAAAGACACATCTTAGATCTCTTACACAACTGTTTACTGCTCTACAGTAACACTACTGACACTACTTAGGCTCACACAAGGTCTGTCTGTGAGTGAAACCCCATACAATGGTTGTCCCATTGTACATTTCAGCTTCATTCTAATGCAAACCTTTCCTTTATGCATGTGTAGTTTCCTTGAGGCAAAAGCTTCGTTCTTAAATACCACCTCCCAGGCAACTACAAAGGAATCCTCCTACTCCCTAAAGTATCCTCTGCTCCTCTTCGAAACAAGAAGAAAAAAAAAGGAACAGACCTACTTAAAAAACCCAAACCGCACTAATCAGATATTATGTCTGGGAAAGGGTCGTAAGCTTCTTAAACTACGACAATGGAGCTGGCCTCAATTCAAGATGTTTGTTCAAAAAAAAAAAAGAAAAAGAAATCACACACTTGTCAGTCACTGAGATGAGATGACAGTAGCAGAGAGTTTTTCCACTCGTGGGTCAGTTTACTTGTCTCTGCTACTGTCGATGAGATGAACACATCAATTTTCCTTTAGCTGAGAATTCAGTTCAGTTTAAGCCTCATCAGTCAGAAAAAACAGGATGTAAAACGCTAAAACAGTTTTCCACCGTCTGACCCAATAAGCCTCAAAGTACATCTAACATGCCATTTCTCAGTGACAGTAGGTGCGCTGATGCTAATCAGTCAAATGTCAGGGTAGATGTTATGTAGAAGAACTGCAGCTCTCTGGAGATTATTGATCAAAAACAGTTTACCTGCAGGGTTAAAAACAATGTCCCCATCTTAACGCTGTACTTACTGACTTGAATATTAGTAAATTGTACACCTCTGTCTGTTAGGAAGAGGATCATACCCCAGTGAACTCTTAAATCGGCATCAGTTGCCCCTTTCTCTCCATCTTTCATACCTTCACTGTACTGTACAGCTTTCCACTCAGACCTGAGACATCGCAAAGAACAAGATGTCTCCCAATCCACCCTCATCTTTTTTGTCTCTGTTCTCTTGCACTTGTCAGTGGTCAGCCCTCAGCTCTTGTCACTGCGTCAGACAAGGCATAGCCGTCTCTCTCTGTGGACACCTGAATCTTGATGCCCTTCACACTGACTTTGACAAACAACTCTTCCATTATATTACTCCTTCTCTCTGCAGTCTTCCACAGGACAACTACCCGTTCTGAATCCTGGAGACCAATAAATGGTGGTGGGTTACACAGCAGCCATACGGTTCACGCTCCTGAAATCTGAAACATTTAAAATGACTGTGCCCACAGTCTCAAACAACAACCCAGGAACCCTAAACGTTTACTACTAAGTCCAGCATTAAAAACATCTCTCCCCTATCTATCATCACTGTGTTCTTTTAGCCACACCACATCTGGAACTTCACTAAACACACTGATGACACCAACATCTCCTTCCTGTCTGAAGTGCTCTGGCCTGAAGTGGAAAAACTGCTGTGTCGCATCAGTTTTTTTATCTATATTTCAGGGCACATTCCTTTCACCAATTATAAACACAGTCACGATCACAACTCTTCCGCTTCCCTCATGTGTTTCACTGCCTTGACATCATATTTATTTTACCAACTTCAGACTTTAGACCAACACAAACGCACAGGTTGCAATTTAAAGAAGAAAGCATTTACAATTCAATCAAATAAATAATGAGTATTTGGAGAGACGCAATTTTGATATGATGTGCCAAGCTGAGCTCTTTTTCAACTAGAGAACAACTGAAAGTAGGCCAGCGCTTACCAAACTGTATCTCCAGACACAAAACAAGCTGAGTTAAAGAAAGCAGAGGCTGAATTGTGTTTGGAAGATAACAAGAATGCAATAAAAGTGTCAAGGCAGCGTCTTCACTCACAGCTCTTCAAGCGCAGATTTATCAGAAGTGATGATACGATGATTCAGAGACTTCAACAGCATCACCAAGGCAGCACACGCACGTGCCGTTATGGATATTATTATTTAAAAGGAGCGTCCCAAAACATCTACTGTGTGAGACTTGGCCCGCTTGCCCAGAGACCATTAAGTAAAAATTAATGAGGGGCTGTCAGTTTTGCATTCTAAATGTACACTGTGGGGGTAAATTGCATACAACAGGCTTAACTGACAGTCCATTGAGTACATTTAGAATGCAAACATCAAGACCAGAGTCAAACTAATGAGCTGATGGGAATGGAAAGTTACTTTGGAGCTGAATTAATTTCACAGTTTCTCATTGGGTTGGCAGAATCCTAACTAAAATATATGCACATAGTGATGGCGTGTAAAATACTGGGCAGGAAACTCTGTTCAGTGACACTCATTACCCATTCTATATGGGTGGAGTAATCATTTATTTTATTAAGTATCAAGAAAAGAGTGACAGGGTAAAAAAAAACTGGACACTGTTAGGTTAACATCTAATTCACTTTCAAACACATTGTTCATAATAACTGAAATGAGGTTCAGACTTGGTCTCCATTCTTTATTTGTCTACCCACTAACCGCTCTTTACTACACTTTACTCACACTGTGAGGTCCATTTTCTCATTTCAGTTTTTTTGTAGATGATAAACAAGTCGGCTGCAACTAATGATTGTTTTCAATGTTAATTTATCTGTCAATTTTTCCTCAATTAATCGATTAGATTTTTAGTCTATAAAATTTCAGAAAAGGTGAAAAATGTCCATCAGTGTTTCCCGAAGCCCAAGATGAAGTCCTCAATTGTCTTATTTTGGTCCACAATCCAAAGACATTGAGTTTACTGTCACAGAGGAGGAAAGAAACTAGAAAATATTCAATTCTAAAAAGCTGGAATTTTTCTTAAAAAATTACTCAAACCAATTACTTGATTATCAAATAGTTAGCGGAGCACATATCATTAAATAGTTGGCAACTAATCGATTAATGGTTGCAGCTCTAAACAAATCTATTCAGTCAGTTAGTGTTTTCTGAATTATTTTGTCTCACTCCTCTGAGTAAATAAATGTTTGAACCAAACCTTTGAGTCTTGAGTCTCTACTGTGTGCCATTTTACTGAAGCAGCGCAATCAAATCTGAATCAAAAGCCGGCCTCTGCACCAACATCCGCAAACAAGACCCATCGTTTCATTTCAGGGAAAAGTGGAGCTACAATTCACCCCTCAGGGAGAAATTCCTTCTGCACTGCTGTACCCGCGGATAAACCCGCTGAGGCAGCTTTGTTTACTCACTGTTACGGCATGAAAATGGGCCTTTAGTATCATGTAGAGTAAGGAGGGGGGCTGACTATGCAACTGCGTTGGCTTACACTGACACGTCACTTTTATTTAGGAAGCAAGACTGGCTGTAAGACGTGAGGAAGAGGAGTGCAGAGACAAGCATGCCTCTCCAGAGGATGGACAGAAACTCCCATCTGCTTGCTGTCAAGGCAGATGACAGCCTGAAGGCCAGCAGCTCTTCACGCATACTCAGCACCGAAACTGCCTCTGACACAGTCACTGTTAAACTCCAGCTGGGTAAAGACATTTCAGTTAAAGGATAGTGGGACTGATAAAGCCTTAACAATTGCTTTATGTGCCTCTAATTACTACTAATTTATAACTTGGGGCGCTTAAAGGGGTTTCCCAAGACATTAGTAGACTTAGAGTAAGCTGTTTTCAGTGTCAGTAGTTCTAACCATGACTGGTAAACAGAGCTTCATGTGTGAAATGCCTCTTTAACACACAGACAGCTGGGATTAAGTATTTCTGGATATTTGCACAACTCATAAAATCTGATGGTATATTTTTGACATGTGACACACTAGGAGGGGGTGGGACCCAGATGTTTAAAGCTAGGGAAATGAGAGCCAATTCCCCATGCCACACACTTGCATAACAGATCAAATCTAATCTACAGATCTACTGCCTGAGGAGCACAGTCAAGTTTCGGTTGCACCTCTTAACTGACTGTGTGTCTATGACAAGGCTTTTCCCCAAGAGAGCCCAGGGATGAGGAGAAAAGAGGCCAAGCATTACAGCAGGAGCTATTACAGACGCAAGGGCAGACATCGTGCTTTCTTTCCCTGCTCTAACCCAAAACCAAGCGCCTCATTCCATTCAGTTAGAGAGGAGCTTTTCAAAAGAACGCAGATTGGAGGAAAATTCCAACTTCATAGCAACACAACAAAGACCATTGCTTCCTAAAGTAGAGCAGTGACACCACAGAACCAATCAGCAGACTACCCTGAGATATTTGATACAACTGTGTGTGTCAGTGTTCCCTGAAAACACAACCAATCCTTTGGGCTTCACAACGCTCTCATCAGCGCTCAACTCAGCCTGCACCCCCTCCAGACTCAACTGCCACACACGCCGATGTAGGCAGCCAAGCGGTAAAATTCTAATTGCCTTCCTCTTCACTGTTGTAGTTTCAGAAAATCATTATGTGAATGGGTTGGGTATGATTACATCATCTATCTCAGAAATCCACATGCTGCGAGAACAAGAGTTGGACGCGACAAAAGCTTTTCTAAATGCATTAAAGGTGGGGTATACGATTCTGGAGAAATCCAACACCATGATCTAACAACGACACAACATATAATGTAACTATTGTTAGTTAAGTTGTATGGTTAGCATACCATGGTTACAGCTGCTGCTGCGAGGCTAACATGAAGCTAACATGCAGAGAGGACGAGACGGTTCCAGAGTAGCACACCAGTTCCAGACAGCGACGCACCTCTCCTGAGAATGTCTGCAATTTCAATACGACGAATTGACTCAGCATAGGACATATTTGATGATGAAAGTGACCAGGTACAAAGTAATTTAAATATACTCCTTATGCCACAGTTGATCTTGTTGAGGGAGTTTTTCCAGAGAAGTTTATCTTTTACAGCCACAAGAGGTCAACAGGCCAACTTAATGACTAATATCATTTCCTGATTGCTGTCATTTGTGGCATTTGTCCATGGAGAGGCGATTACCACAGAGATAATGTTTGCGTTACTTATGTTGTTTTTTTTA